TGGTCACTACATTTTGAAGCAAAAAACTATTCTAGAGTCAAGAAAAATGCCAAGAGAGCCAACCTAGGAAGTATAGTGCAATACTCTTGTTGTATGAGCCTGCTTTCCTCTTTGGGCTGTGACAGAGAGTCAAGAACTGATCGTTCTGGCTCTCCCAGACTTCTTAAGTCTTCAAAATATCTTACTATAGTAAAGAACAGTTGATATGAAGCCTCTCATAGTCCTGAGTTCAGCACAACAAAAGTTTTATTGGCAAAACAGCTCTACTTTGCACATCAGCCATTGGAACTCTGCATAACTTTGACGTAAAACATGGCGGACAAAAATCCGTTCAATATTATTCTTTGTATATATGGTATCACAAACTAATTCTCGCCTAAAGGGGTCTATACCATTGATTTTATTCCTATTTTTGCTAATATTACATTTTGCTAAATTAGGGTCCCCTTTAAAACGCTAAAATTTAAGAGCACAATTAATACCCACCCTAAGGTAATTTACTTAGCAACACTTAGCAACAGCATGCCTGCAGGAGGTTAATAGTAATTTCCTGGTCAAACTTATTAACCTCCTGGGCCACTTATTAACCTCCGACTGTCCAGGAAATTACTTATCAACCTCTAATTGCCTGGGAAATTACTTATTATACCTCCCAGTGGTAAATAAGTTATTTATGAACCTAAAATCAAGCAATCTGATTGGTCAATTGCAACTAGGCATGGTAGAATTTTTGTTATTAGATCCATCATTGTAATATCAGTTCCAGTAGTGGTAGGATATGCCACAGTATTCTGGGAGAGGCATACACACCAGCCACTAGTGTCAAGGATATACTGTGTCACATATATGGACTACTAATGTCGCCTGAGCTTGACAGTCCGTTAGACAGGTATAATTGTAATTAATGTACACATCTGGCCTGAATTGTGCATGCTATTGAAGTCAATGTTTTAACTTTTGAAACAAGTATGAGATTATGAATATACATAAAAAATGTTAAAAATAATGGAGCAATCTTTCCTGCCACTATTCTAAAGCTGAGAACTTGGCCATGTTGCATGAGTGTTTTGTGAAGTTGTATAGTGGTATACAAAAATTATTGGTTCTTACCTTTATCATACAGTACACTAGCAGATGAGTTTGGATATCTTCGGCACAGAGAAAAGGATCTAGATAAAAACCTTGATTCATACGAGTATTTTCATGAAGCAGATAAATATTTCAAAACAGCCAAGTCTCAAGTACTGATTCATGCCACGAGGTCATTTGAAGAGTTACACTTGGTAAAATTATTAATATAGTAGATAAAAGTAATGATTTTTTGCATAGGAATTATCTGCTGATTGTTGAGTATTGACTAGAACAACTTAGCTATAAGTTATTATTTTATTGCTTAATCTAGTGCCACTGTATAGTTCACGTATAGTAATTATTAAAGTTTTTGTCATAATTAGTTAAATGAACTTGTGCAGTGTGCATTTAGAAGAATAGTATTATTATAATAGTGCCTGGAAGATAGTATCTGGTATAGTGACAAATACAATGTAGTTCAGACAGTCTATATACATGCTGGGTTGTACTAATGGTGCTATATGCACACAGCTATTTTATAGGTCAGATTCCTGACTCCAAAATTGGGTGGTGAATGCTGAATATGTTATCTTAACTACAACTAAGAAGAATAGATGCTGCTAATAAGGAGCTATTTAATCCTTTCTTAGCTTATAAACTATATTATGCTTTTGGTCTAACTATATTTGATCATTGTGTAAAACAACAGCCTTTGACAAAAAATGCTGAAGTATTGATGAATGCTATAGGTGAGTCTATATATAATATATAGGGCTATTTGGAGGTAATTCTGAATACTATAATGCAATGTATATGCTGCATCTGAAGCTGTACTCATGTAACGTCAGTCATGTAACGTTAGAAACACACAATAGATGCAATAATTATAAATTTTCATATCATAATGAGAAATATTGTGCTTAATTGATGATGAGTGCTATTTGTCATTTTGTCAAGTTACAGCAAATATAGCATTTCTTGTTGATTTCAATTCCAGACATATAGTGTCATAGTTGATACTATATTACTATAATCAATGCATTATGTAGAAAATAAGCTTAAAGTAATTTTCCATGCCTCAGGTTCTTGCATAAATCAATGTGAGTTTCAGTGTGTGCTCATGATATGTAAGTGGATTGTGTGTTTGTCCTGGTTCAGTGCAAGTAGGATTGACACTTTGAATTAGATTCAGTACTCTTATTGAGAGAGAGATGATACATTTTTATGCTGGAGTAAGTCAAAACCAAACAGTTCCTAACATGCATCCAATCTATAGCAATCAAAGTATGGGTGCAGCAATGAAACTAAGGACAGTTTTAAATCAAAACGCAAATTGAGTTATAGATTGTAACATTATCTATTACATACTGTGTAGTTACATTGACAGAGGTAGAACTGCTTTATAGCAAATCACATCTTGTAATTAAAAAAGAAATTTGTAAGAAATGAGGGATTTTACATAGTCCATAGAGTGAAAATACATGCATGTGTAGTCTATTCTTCTAATTCAAGGGAGTTTGTTACTAAATATTGATGCCATTTCTGGGTATGTAAAATAAGTGGAAGGCTTTAATGAGAGGACTGCTATAAAAATGGCGTGCTGCAACATATGAATATTATTTTATGGCACTGCTTAAAGTTTTGTCTTGCCCACATTTGACAGGTGCATGCTGTTGCTGTTGGTATGTGTTTTTTAAGGGAATTTCCATTGTACCACCGGAGGTCAGATTCCTAACACCAGTAAGTATAATCACATGCACATGCAAAGGTGTTTTCATAAAAGGGATGAGAATATAATACCACTGGAACAAAAAAATTTAAAAAAATATTTAGTGTAGGGTTGAGCCTCTGTTAGATTTGAACCTATAAAATGAATTTAAAAAAGCCCCTGTAGGGTTGCATAACCATTGAAACACCAACATGTCAACCCTACACTGCAGGTATGAAATGGCCTATAGCAGCACTGATGAGTATTGCTATCAATGCTATTGTGGTAATTAAATCACTGAATGAGCATTACAGTAAATGTTGTACATGCTTTCAATTAAGTTAAATTAATGATACTGATTTGACAATTATCATAGATATTAGAGTAAATGAAAAGGATAGGAAACTTCCGTTGCGTGGGTGGATTATTCCATTGAGATTATTAGGTTGCCTAGCAACTTAAGCTAGTTACCCCTGACCAGACTGCTCTCTCCAGCTCTACAGCACTGATTTTCACCTATAGCACTCGCATAGTAGTGATTGCAGTGTTATATGATATTTCAAAGGAATCAGCTGTTATACCACTATCATGCTATAGCCAAATATAAGAAGATTTAGGCTCTTCTATTGCATTTATTAGTGATTAAAAGTTAAAAAAGTACTACTTTGCTCTTTGGTCCCCATTATCTCAAAAGCAATATTATAAACGAAAGATTTAAAGCAAGCCCCTATTAAAGAATTCTTTTCTTTAGGTCTTCCAACTTTAATAATTTCTAAAGCTTGTTCAAGTTTTTTTTTACATTTTATGCTCAAAAACAAGTAAAGTTTCCGTGTTTAAATGAGTAATGACTAAAAAGACTTCAGATACAGAATCTAGATGAGTTATTCTGGGTCTTCCGCCCATTATCTTGTCTTTGCGAAGCATACTTTTGCTATTACAAGGAATTAAGGCCTAGTCAGGCTAGTCGCCCATTGTGGCGATCAGGTAGAGTATACTAGTATCCGGATTCCTCCGCTTTCTAGGGTAAATAGCTTGATTTCCCGGGAACGGAAGTTTCCTATCCCTTTCATTTACTCTAATATCTATGACAATTATCATAGATGTATAGGTTATACACCGAGGTAGAGGTTTCTATGGAATTTCAACCGAGCGATGCAGTTGCGAGGTTAACGAGACACCTATAGTGCGTGGCCTCGCCGCTATAGCCGGGTTAAAGAAAGTATGCTCCAAAAGGATAGTTCCCTGCATTTGCTCTTGAATATCTGCAGAAGTATGTGGCATATTACTCTAGCTCATCACCACTGAGCTCAGTTGTATCATCATCTGCAATGATGGCAGCAAGCAAGCCTATAGGCTAAGAAAGAAGTTAAAACTGTAGATTTCATGTATAATTATTGTTATCAGTTGTATATATCTGATTATTCAGTTGTGCTAATTTTTTAAGTATTAGTACATTAGTACATACCAGCAAGAGTAGATAATAATTAGAAGAGAGTGTCCTACTGTGATATACCCCCTGCTTCATCACGGCGTAGAATTGAAGAGTCACATTCAGGATATTTTCAGTATTTTCATTGAGTAGTTATAGATACCCTAGCTAACTTACCAAAATCCTAGCAAAATCAAACAGAAATAATGGAACAGAGAGCAATAATAGATTAATAATGAAAGAGATCAGGAAGAACAACTTAGTCAACACAGATATTGCTGTCAAAAGAATCTGACGGAGACGTGGCAATTCAATTAAAGCGAGAGAGGGCCCGGGACGACACCGAGGCCCGAGCAGCTGAGCTGCGCTGCAAGCCTGCAAGACCACAAGCCCAACCCCTATGAGCCACACCTTCTGAATCACCTACATGCATTCCTGGAACTGAAACATTATTTTTAAATTCATGTAACAAATTATTAATTAAAAAGTATGTTTACACTTAGATTGTATATGCAATAAAATTTTGAAGGAATGACATTATTGCAAAAGACACCCAGCTCCAAATGAATTTCTATTTATCAGAAGAGAGTGGAGGACAAAGGAGGTATCTATAAAAAGAAAGAGACAGCTAAAGAAATGATGAAACAAACATGCAAATGTAAAAATAAAGACAACAGAAGGATGAATTAATAAAGATGTCAGGAAAAAATCAAAAATGATCTATTATCGAACATAGCAAGCTGTGAAACTTTGGCATTGTAAAGGCATATGAGACTCAATATGCATAAGT